ATAAGGGAATCTTCTGGAACGAGAAGGATTAAGACCCCATTCTCTGCAGGAAATAATTTTGAAATTTTCCATTTCTGAAAATGGAATGGGTGCTGAAGGATTATTGTTATTATTATAATAAAAACAGGCAGAGCCGGATGCTTTAAGAATTTCTTCAAAATAAGGACGGGAATTTCCTGCTGCAATAGGGGGATAGTGATAACTCTCATGGAAATAATTTCTGATAATTTCAATGGGAGGGAGATGGATTTCATCTTTGGAGATTGGAATGACTGGCCAAAAGACATCATGAGTCAGATATTTAGGAGTAGGTTCCTCCTTAACATTGGGCAGAGAAGGCTTAGAGTTTGGAAAGATTCTATTGAGGAATGAGATAGGTTGAACGGCTTTTCAGAGCCATTTTTGTTGATGGTTAGGCAATTTAGTTCCATTTATTTCAATTGTCAATTTATTAAGTGTATTTCTTGTTATCATTAAGTCACATTTATACTCTTTTGTTGCCATTAAGCCATTGAAAACACGTTCAGGCGTTGTCTGGGTTTTGTTGACTGTATTCCAAGAAATTCATCTAATGGATAAACTCTTGAAATCAATGTTTTGTAAAAGTTCTAGCTCGCATAAATCTAGCTCTCATATCACAAGTATCAGTGAAATTAATGTGGATGATATGGAGAAAATCATGGCTAATTGGAAAATACCCAAAGCTAAAGTTAGTGAATTGTATTTTCAAGAGTTTGAACTAGAACAGACATATTCTATTAAGACTGTTGAACAGGATTTGGCTGTTACTAATGCCAATCAGACTTTTCAATTATTAAACAAATCTGCTTTAGATAATTTGAAAGAAGTATATCCATCTCAGGTTAGTCCAAGTAGGACTTAAACCAAGGACTACTGATGGGTTAAAGACATCCCACTTAGTCAATCTTAGAGATTGTCGCCATCTGGAATTTGAAGATTCCCATATAGGAATGGTAGAAACCAGTCTCTGTCAAGGGCCAGTTTATTTTAACTGCTACCCTAATTATTCTGTTTCTTTATCTGACCCACCTATTTTGGATGTTCTGACTCTTAATATCCAGACTCAGAGATATCGTATGAAACAAAATGCCCACAATATTAATCTCAGTTACCGTATCTACAACTGGACCATGACCACCATGAACCATCAATTGATGCAAGCTATCAATCATGATAAAGCTACTGTTCTTTTTCAAGCAAATCTTGAAAAAGCTACTGTTGCTACCCCTAAAACACTCAAATGGAGTGATAGTACCCCTCCTGAGTCATGGATCCTTGAGAGTGCTACTGAACCCGATCCACCTCAAAGGAATCAAGTGGAAAGTATCATTGATGATGGTGAAGGAAATGTAGAATTACCCCTCATATTAACCAACATAGACCTTCTACATCCTCATCTCACCTATCTCATTCCTTAATAGAATCTTTCCAGACTCTGACACCAATAGAATCACTCCGTATCTGATAAAGAAGAAGCTATGTCTGAAGCATCTGCCTTTCAGGAGATGACTGCTATGGAGTCAAACAGTAAAAATTTTGACTTCTGTGCCATTATAGCCCCACTCGACTCCACAAATCTCTAGGACACGTGGCCCATGGCATGTGAAGGCCATCAATGATGTCTCCTGCTTTAATAAAGCACTTTACTTTTTGTTATGTATTGTATTGTATTTGAATTTGAAGTCTGGGTTCCTTCTCTCTATTTAAAAGAAGCCAAGTCTTCAGTTGATGGCATCGAAAAAATTTCGGAATGTTTTTAATATTTCATAAATCAAGATTTTATTTTCACATGGTATGAGTGTTTGTAAGATGGAGCGTTTTTAAGTGTTGCTTTCTACTGAATATTGTAAGTAAGCTTTCTCCCATAACACTACTTACCATTTTGTATTGTTACTATTACTATTTGTAATCTACTGTTTTGTATTGTTATTATGTGTACTAGTATTCTATCTTTTTGTTTATTTTGTCTTTTCTTTATGTTTTGAAGTTTGTGTTGAAGGTCTTGTCCGATGTACAGATATTAAACTCGCACACCAGCTCAACAAGAACGCAAAACAGGAAAATCCGAACTTGGACAATTCTGCTATCAATTTGGTTATGATACCCTTGCTACTCCTAATATTTCTTTTTCCTACAAAACCAGAAAATCATTCAGGAGTCAGGACTTCTCATCGAAAGAAGAAGTCCGGCAAATCTAAGCCCAAGCCTTCTAATGATAAACCTACTACCTTCAAAAAGTGGAAATCCTCCACCAAGAAGAAACGAGAGGCTCCGTCCGTTTCAAATGTGAAAAAGTGGGTCCTTACAAGAATAAATGTAAAGCCAAGGATAAGATAAATGAACTTGATGTCAGTGATGAGTTAGAGCACAAGATTTCAAAAATCTTTCTTCTTTTGGATGACAAATCTCCTCGTGAAAAATCCGAGAAGGACGATTCACCTGATAACTCTTCGTATTCTTGATCTTCATCTACATCCAACTCTCACTCGGGATCTGACAGCGATTGCACCCCTTACAAATCCAAATTGGATTATTACGAGGCAATCTTAGAAACCAATGGTTTACATATCAATGTACTGTCCAAAGAAGAAAATACAATTCTTGAAATTCTTGATCAAATTGATAATCCTGGCAAAAGGCAACAGGCTATACCCCAATACATAGAAATAATAAGGAATACTTCTCCTAAAGGAAAACCAATCGAGTTGATAGTCAGGAAACTTATGAGTTTCAACATGTTTTATCTCGCCAAGATAATAAAACAGGCAAAACTGGTCCTCTGACTCTTCAGGATTTACAATGTGAAATTTCTGAAGTTAAAAAGGAAATCAAAGATCCCCAACAGCTTAAGCTTTTGGGTCAAGGGGCAAGCTCCCAACCCTTACAGTTGGTCTCAATCAACCTTAATTCAGCATCAACATATACATCACCAAACAAAAGTAACTAATAATTATTTAGCTATGCATGCCAAACTCCAACTGCCCCAACAAAAAAATAACAATAATAATACTAAAATGGAAAAAACAAGTCAGCTAGGTAAGTCAACACAGGCACCCTGGGGACTTCAACCATCAACCGGATACCACTTGGGCTAAAGCCCTTAACAAGCTTTTGGAGTATGTTTATTATCATTATTAATTTATTTATTTATATTTTTTGGGTGGGGAAAAGGGGTTACCAAAGGTTAAACAGAATCTTGAAAGTAAACTAGGACTTCTGTCAAGAAATTGGAAGGTTCATAACGAACTTCACTGGTGCAACAGCATGAAAGTTTGAAGGGTAAATTACACTCACGCCCCCTAAGGTTTATGTTTATTACACACGGTGGTCAAAAATAGGCCTTTATTACAATGACACCCCTTATTGACGTTAAACAGCTCACGAATGTTAAATTCACGTGAAAAGTCATTCATGCCCTTCAAATTATAAGATTAAAAACAAAATATTTCGTACACTAAAAGACTCTTTTACCCTTTATATATGTAGATCACTTGGTACTTTTTCACTCTCATTTCCTACAAGCCCTTTCATTCCGCCACCCTCTCTCACCCCCCTTATTTGATGGGCTTTCATGATTTTCTTCATCTAATTAACAATGGGTTGTGCTTTTGGAAGTTTTTATCATTACGATATCAAGTTTCGCTTTGAATGCCTGCCCAATCTATTATGAACGATGCTAAAACCCCTTTTTGACGAAGATAGATGTTTATATCGCAAATCACAAAATTCGAATAACAAATATGTTAAAGCTCAATTAATCTCATTTAGAACCACCCTCACTTGCAAACCTAAGAAGTGTTCAAGTAGAATCGTGTCATGGTCTAAAGTCAAAGCTCCAAAAAAGTGGCTCGGCATTTTATGAGATCTAGAAGAGATATATTGATGTATTTATTAAAGCCATGACAACTGACAATGTTCAGACGCCTAAATGTTATACATTCTCTGAATTGGGCTGCATTGCACTTGTTTACCGGCATAAACAAGCCAAACTTGAGCAACCTGAGTTCTAGCACTTTTGGGATGCGTTCCCCTTTTGAACGCTCTAATATACTCTTTATTTATCAAAAAAAAATAAGGGCTTTAACACGTTGGGCTTACTGCTATTTTTTCAACAATTCTGCAAAGGGAATTTGTAGTTGCAGATGCCTCTTTATGGTAGAGGTCCCTTCCTTTTATACCTACATATCCCTAATCAAGTTCTATTTCTTGGAGTACAAGCTTGGGCCTATTTCCTTTTTCTTTGGATTGAACTGGGCTTCTCTTGGGGGGGCCGGACGGCTGAACCGAGGTTGGGCTTGAGTGCTGAGTTCGGCCCAGTCTTCAGCTCTGGGCTTGTTTCTTTGGGTCCAGGCCCACAATCAAACGCATGTCACTTCATGATTGGAGAACATCTTTGCCTACATGTCAAGACTTTACTAGAGAGGATTTTTCCCCCCACCGAGGCTTTAAGGATTCTATGCCTTATCGTAGATAACGGAAAAGGACAGAAATTCTGATGTTAAAATTGGTCCTTTTAATCTTTCTTTGTCCATACTTTTTTCCCTCTCCTTTCATGACAATTTTCATTTGGGAAGAGTGTTATTTTTTTTTTCCTAGTTGGTACTCACACAAACATGCCTCCACCGAAGTTCGAACCCCTTACCTCCCTTTGGAAAGTAGGGGTCTGGTACCGTTAGGCCACTAGCCCATTGGTATTTCAGTAGTTTCCACCTACATTTAGTAAGATTGATTTCAATCCTTAACCTATCAGGCGCAAATAGTGAAGCTCAATAGCGGTTTCAAAAAAAAAAAAAAGGAGAGAGAATGGTAATGGATCTTCTTCTACCCACTATCAAAGGAAAAAAAAATGTTATTTATTAGGGTTAACAAAGCATATAATGTTTTGATAGTGTAGTTTATGAGTATCAATTTCTAGGATCCACTTGGTTAGTATTTTAAATTTCTTATATATTCAACTTATGGAGAAGAGATTAGTATACCAGCAACAACAACAATCGTTAGAACATCCCCAACTCTTTTAAGTCGCCATACACTCCTTTTATGTGATTTGAACCGCTTTAGTGCCGGGTCCTCTGCCAAGAGCTGAAAATGACGAGCTTAATATAAGAATAGAGAAGTTACTATAAAATGCACCAATGCTCATGGTTTTAAGCTGTTGGAGCTGTCATTAACATGCAATGATCTGAACTATTCATCAATACATGTTGATACATAGTAGAAAATTGTCATCAAAAGTTGAATTGATCTCCATAATAGTAACAGAATGATGAATGAAATCTACTAAGGAGCAATTCTTTACGAGCTCTCAGACAGAAAAATCTTATTAAGTTTCAACTCACATGTGAATAAAAGTCAGCTCCTCACAAGTGCCAGCCAATGGTAAAAGGTGATGCATGTTGTGTACCACCAGCTATCTAGCTAGAGTGGTATCTCGCACCCCCATAAGTAAGAGGCGCAGGATTCAAGTTCGAGTTGAAACATGGTATCTGTTGAAATAAAAAAATATCTTGCATTTTAACTAATATGTGGGGAACTCGTAGCAAGACTTGCCCAAACAACAATAGGAAACATGGGAGATTACAAATTGAAAACAATATCAACATGTTTGGTTTAAGGGGGAAAACTTAGCAAATCAACAGCTGGGTTAAAATACAAACAGGCCAATCAAGTAAGCCCACCATATACTATGCAGATGAAAAGCTAGTCTTAAATTTGTAAATTTGATTAAATAACAGAAATATCAAAAAATTTAATAAAAACCAGCTGTTTCTTTTAATTTACTCTTTATTAGCTTGACTGTAAATTTGAGAAGAAAAGGTGGGTGGAAGAAATTAGGACCAAATAATAAATATTTTTCTTTTAAATCAAGGCCTTCTTAATTTGCTAATTGGATAAACCCAACTTGGGGAAGAAAGAAATTCAATCACCATTAGCAAATTAACAAAATAAATAACAATAATAATAATAATAATAATAAAGAGGAAAGAGAGAACAACACTAAGTAAGATTCATATTAACCTTAGTCCTAGCCATTAATTATGTTTAACCATTCGAAAGAGCTCAGAAGACACTATTCATTCCATTATTATTAATAGTCTATACCCAGATATTTTGATCTATTTGCTTCATTGGATCTCCAGCTATTTTAGCCAAATCTCACAATCTACCATACACAATTTACAGAAATATTGATGATCCAAAATGAATCAGATCACAAAAATTAATTAGGAGCAAAAAAAAAAAAAAAAAAAAAAAAAAAAAAAAAAAAAAAAAACCTAATGAAAGAGATAAAAGAGGGCAAGTACTCACAGCCTTCTCGCGAGCTCCTGGTTCTATATGGAAGCCTCTACGCGATAAAGAGAGCGAATCCCCTGCTTTCTGCAGTTCAATACGCATATACTTTTAGAGAGAGAAAGCAGACATAAGAGAGTGATGGCCATACAATATTACAACAAGAACTCCAAAATAGATAGAGGATCAATCCATGCGTGTAAAGATATATAGATATATATAGAGAGAGAGGAATGACACCTGGGTTTGGGTCCGACAGTAAGATAGAATGGTGGTTTTGTTCAGCAGGAATGCCATTGTTGGGAGTTCAGGGAGAGTAAAATGATGCTTTTGCAGTTTCAAGTAGAAGGGCAAGCCACTAATAAATTAATAATAAGTACAAGCAACTTTTACGTTTTTTTATACATTTTATTTTATTTATAAATAAATAAATAAATATTCCGGATTCATCTGGTTTGAACCGTTTGATTGCAAAAATTTATACCGATGTTAAAAGGATACGCAATTTTTATTTTTTATACTACTAAAGTAATTTTTTTATAAATAGTTTTTTAAAAAAGATATTTATTTTCTATGAATTTCTATTCACCTATTATTCATTTACTAACCAAAAATTGCAAAGCTGGAAACATTGTAAAAACTGTTTCTAAAGTTACTTTAATTACAAAATATTTTCTCTTTAAATAGTAACTATCACAGTTATATTAATATGAAATTTCACTAAGATTAAAATATTATATAGTGTACTAAATTAATATTAAATTATTTATTGACTCATTTATATATTAACAACTACAAATAAAATTAAAATAATAAATTAAAAAGGTCACCCAGAGCCCTTTTTCAAATTTAATAACTAAAATGATGAAAACTTTAGATAGTGAACTAAATTAATAACAATATGTATTTATTAGCTCATTTATGTATTAATAATTACATGTAAAATTAATTAATCAATTGAAAAGGCGGGAGTGTTTTTTCAAATTCAATAATTGAAATGAAAACCTAAATTGGTAAAATTCATATATTAGTTCATTAATATACTAATAATTATAAATAAAATTAAAATAACTAATTAAAAAGGCCACTCACTTGAGGTGCCTTTTTAAATTTTAGTGCACCAAATAGATAATAACATATTTATTAACTCATTTATCAATTTTTTAATGACTCTTTTTGTATTTTTAAAAATATGAAAAATGTTTAAAAATAAGAAAAGACCCTTACACTTTTATAATATATGATGATAGATAGATATATATAGTCTTATAGATATTGTTCATATATTAGTCTTATTACTTTATAATTTTTTGAAAGCCATTATTGCTTAATGGATCTCACCGTTACACCATTTCCCTCCTTAAAAAAAAAATAAATAAAAACCTTTCCCAAAGTTATTATTGCTGATTAAAGTTGATGAATTTACATACAATTTATGTGAAGGCAATAAATAAATTTCTACTAAAGAATAAATAAATAAATAACTACGGACTCATGCACTCTTACTATTCCCAAATTACCATTGAATTGTAAGACTATTTTAGTTTACTTTCTCCGATCAAAGAGTGAGTGGTTTTATTTTATTTTTTTATAACTTTTTTTTTATTTTCTTCCTGTGCAGATGGATGGAGTATATCTTTGTGAAATTTAAAATAATAAGACACAGTGATAATTTTATGGATGCATGTGCTGTAAATGATTGTTATGTTATTGAATTTTTTTATTTTTTATTTTACTATTTACAAAATTTTTATTTTTTTTATTCTAATTGGTACTCACACACGCATGCTTCCATGGAGGCTTAAACCCTTAACCTCCCTTTGAGAAGTAAGGGACTGATACCGCTAAACCAAAGACCCATTAATAGAATTTTTATTATTAGACCTTTTGTTTTTTCCTATTGATGATTTTATTTATTAAAGTTGTTTATTTATTCTTGTATCTTTTTCCATAAAATAAAATAAAAAATAAAAAACAAGCAAACAAATTCTTAAAAAAAAAAAAAATTAGAATTGGATTTTTTTTCTTCTTTAATTATGTATAATGGTGACCGCTAGGGTGGTGAAACATCATTGCCTTCCTAGGACAAAGTCCAGAGGGACAAATTATAAAATGAGCTTATTGGAGATACAAAGTAAGACTGAGATTTCAAAATAATAATATTAAAAATAATCAAGTATGTTGGAAATCTTGCCTCTTTTCAATACCCAAAAGTCATTGTGATTTGTCTTTTCTACCAACATATAGGCCGAGGAAATGAGACCAGAATACAAAATTACCGCCATTCAACCGTACACTAATAACTCATTGAACGAGTTTGTATTACGCCGAATTGAGAGTTTCTTTATTATTACTAGTAAAACAATTCAACAGATCACCAATAATCTCAAATAAAAGAGGAATAAACCTGATTTTGATCAAACCAAGAAGCCGAAGACACGATAAGCCGATCCAAAAACGCTGTTGAATATCCCGGCAGCCCCCAAAAATTGCAAACATCTTATGAGCCTTATGCATGAAAAACACTATAAGAGAATTCCCCTACAGGGTCGAAACTAGAGGAGATTGGCTCCCCCTAGGACTGTCGCAACATCGGCCTGAAGAAGAGAGAGAGAGAGAGAGAGAGAGTCTGTAATGAAAAGAAAGAAAGAGGGAATGGGCTATGATGAGATAGAGATAGAGAGAGGAAAAGAGTCGATGAAAGAGAGAGGAGAGGAGTAGGTTTGAGGCTATGATACCAAAAAGTAATTTGGTAAACTTGACTTACTCAGTTTGATATCGTGACTATCATTATATACATGAAAAAAATTACAAATATGAAAAGAGAACCAAAAAAATAAATCCCTAAACAAAAGTCTAAATATACGCCTAAAATAAAAACTCAATAAATTTGCCACAATCACCCAAAGATATAATTTCCAACAATGTCATTTGCACCCTCCTCATCTTCATTTCCTTCCAATCTTTCTTTTCCACTCCACTTAATAATAGATTATGCTCATGGTGTTGGGCAAGTGCCTTTGTTGCTCTCACTTGCCTTATTGCATATAACTAGTTTTGGCATATGAACCATGTCTCAAAGAAAAAGGCTCTTCTTTTGTGAAAGAAAACCTGCAAAAAATTTCAACAAAAATGAAATGTTGTCACTCTTTTATCCAACCAATTTTCCTGTAGTTCTAATAGTTTACAGCTGATACAATTATGTTATTTTAACATGGTTGGTGTCTAGTAGCTGCATGTTGGGATTTTGGCAGAATTTCATTGGTTGAATTTTGGTAGAATTTCATTGGTTGAATGATACAATTATGGTAGTCAACTGTTTGGTTGTGTGGATGACTTAATGCTCAAGTTAAGGGCTTGATAAAGTAATAAGCAAACTTTAAGGGAAGAAATTGATAATGAATGAATTTCTTTATGCTAGCAATAAGTCAGCTATCCAAAAGCGGCAACTTTGCCCTATAAGTTAGGCATGAGACGCAGTGAAAGATGTGTGACCTCGTGTGATCCTTCAAGATTGGTTTTTTGTGTGAAGAAATCCTTTTGTATGCAATATTCAAGAGAGATATTTGAAGTTTGTTTTTGGGTGGGTTTTCTTCTTTGTGTAAACCATATAATTATTGGAGATTTTTCTTAAGAGCGTTTGGTGAGCTTTTCTTTGTTTGGTGGGTGACGTTTGATTGTGAGAAGAGTGATTATTACCAAAACGTTCTTCAATTTGTAATATTTTTCTATATAGTGATATGTATCATATCGCCTGTGAACGTAATCCTATTTGTGAGGGTGAACCACGTATAAATCTTGTCTTGTGGTGTGTTTCTTTTCATCTTTATTCATATCTTCTTGTTATAGGATTTGCCATCATTGTGTGTATATTTGTTTGGGTTTCTATTTCTGTACAACAGATTAGTATCAAGAGCTTCTGTTGTGCCCAACAAGTGGTATCAGAGCCTAGGTTGCAAACTAGGGTCTTTTGGGATGGCTTCCAAATCTATAAGATATGAAGTTGAGAAGTTTAATGGAAAGAACAACTTAGGATGTGGCAAGTTGAGGTGAAGGACATTCTTGTTAAGGAAGGTTTGATAAAAACCTTGGATGATAATATTGATCCAACGAAGAAAGAGGAATGGGAGAAGTTTTCTATGGAATTCGATCCAATTGTGTTTGTCAAAGGAGATCAAGCATAACGTGATGACAGAGACATCAGCAAAGAAGATTTGGGAGAAGCTTGAAAAACTCTATTTAGAAAAGTCGCTTACAAATTGGATCAATCTCAAGAAAGAGTTCTACCATTTCAGCATGAAGGAGGGTTCTACGATGCAAGACCATCTCAACAATTTTAATAGGCTTCTATCGGAACTATTAAACATGGAGGTAAAAATTGGATGATGAAGACAAAAGTCTCAATTCTCTTAGCTTCTCTTCCCACGAGGTATAATCACTTGGTGACTACTATGTTATATGAGAAGAAGACTGTAGTCTTGGATGAGGTCAAATCAACACTTCTCTCCCATGAGAATAGGAGGAAAGTGTCGGAGATTGACAGAGATGGAGAGGCCACGGTCTTAGCTATAAGGGGGAGGATAGAAAATTGAGGCTCAAATTCAAAAAAACTCTAGGTCCAAAATCAAGGAATTACAAAGACAAGAAGTGTTACTATTGTCATAAGTTAGGGCACATCATTATGCATTGTCCCAAATTGAAGACAAAGAATGGGAATGGCAAAGAGAAGGTTCAAGAGGCAGATTCTGTGGTAGCTGCTACGAGTGATTCGAAATATGATGATTATGTTCTCATGGTAACTTCATGTTTAGATATATCATTTAATGATAGTTAGATTCTTGATTCAGGTTGTTCTGTTCATATGTGTTCCAGTAAGGATTTTTTCTCCTCCTATATAGAGGTGCAATGTGGTTCTATTTTGACGGCGGATGGAAAAGCCCTCAAAATTTTAGGAATTGGAACAATCAAGATCAAGACACATGATGGGTTGGTAAAAACATTGTCAGGTGTGCGACATGTACCAGATCTGAAAAAGAGCCTTATTTCAATAGGTGTGTTAGACTCCAAAGGTTACAAGGTTGTAACAGAGGGTGGAGTTATGAGGGTTGTGATGGGTTCTTTTGTGGTATTACAAGGAATCAAGGTGGGTAACTTGTATATTCTCCAAGGGAATACAGTAACATGTAGAGCTATTATGGGGTATTCTATATTGAGTAGAAATATGCATTTGGGTCTTGGAAAAATGAAGAGTTACAGAGAAGAGTGACGATCTTAGTTCTCAAAAGGGTTGTGAGGGGACTACACAAGGTGATGGGAGAATGAAATCCGTTTTTAAATGGCAACCGAAATTGTAGCAGTCCTTATAGGAAGGCAGGCCTATTAGGACAGATGTGGTGGTGATTTGTAACAATCTTGGTGGACGTAGCATAGCCCATTTGAGTGACATTAAGATTTATGGGAAACAAGTAGTTGATCACATTAGAGATGCAAAGGAAAGTCAGGGACATCCTATTCTCCATAAGGGTAAGAAGATGACTTTTCATTACCAATTGACGATTTGTGGGCGGTTGGCGAAAGTTGCTAGAGGAGATGTCAAATTTAGAGTTTCCAAGGGTGCTTTTGATAAGCATTTAGAGTTTGACAAAAATACTGGAGGCATACTTATAGCTGCGTAAGACGTGTTTGGGTTGAAGAAGGAGATCCTGAGGGTTAGGTTTGAGGAGGACTCAAACTTAACTAAAATTCTTTATTAATTTGGTTTTTTGATGGCGATGATGATGGCATTTTTTATTACTCACATTCTGGTGGAGAAAGTCTTGGTATCTAATTATTTATGTCAAGGTGGAGAAATTTTGCCAAGGTGGAGATAGTTAGGATTTTGGCAGAATTTCATTGGTTGAATTTTGGCAGAATTTCATTGATTGAATGATAAAATTATGGTAGTAAACTGTTTGGTCGTGTGAATGACTTAATGTGCAAATTAAGGGTTTGATAAGGTAATAAGCAAACTTTAAGGAAAGCAAACTTTAAGGGAAAAAATTGATAAGGAATGAATTTCTTTGTGCCAGCAATAAGTCAACTATCCAAAGGCGGCAACTTTGGCCTATAAGTTAGGCATGAGATGCGGTGAAAGATGTGTGGTGTGATCCTTCAAGATTGGTTTTTTGTGTGAAGAAATCCTTTTGTGTGTAACATTCAAGAGAGATATTTGAAGTTTGTTTTTGGGTGGGTTTTCTTCTTTGTGTAAACCATATAATTATTGGGGATTTTTCTTAAGAGCGTTCATGAGCAATTCTTCGTTTGGTGGGTGACGTTTGATTGTGAGAAGAGTGATTATTTGCTGGAAGAATCAAAACGTTTTTCAATTTGAATTGAAATATTCTTCTATACAATGAGGCGTAACCCTATTTGTGAGGGTGAACCGCTTATAAGTCTTGTCTTGTGGTGTATTTCTTTTCATCTTTATTCATATCTTCTTGTTATAGGATTTGCCATCATTGTGTGTATATTTGTTTGGGTTTCTATTTCTGCACAACAGATTTGTATCAAGAGCTTCCGCTGTGCCCAACACTGCACAAGTAAGTGAAGTAATTACATGGCGAAATCTGCACAAGGAAATGACGAAATTTTCTTGACCTCACATCAGCTGCTTCAAGTCACAGAACCATGTGAACATCCATGGACTACCATTTCAAATCGACTCCCTCTAATCTCTTCGCGAACTCTACAAAAAATGCCAGGCAAATTCATGGTTCTTGTCATTGCTCCATTGCAAACGTATAGTGAATATAGCCATTTTTTTTTTGGTTACTTTCTTCCATAAATTTCCTCAAACACAGATTTAAGCTCTCTCTTCTCATAATTCTTTCGTCATCCTACATAGCTCCTCAAGCCCAATCTTCTACACAGATGAAGTCTAAGTAGTCTGATCTATCGCTAAAATTCTGTGAAACTCTCGCCGTTTGCTACTCAAAGCAGCAGACCATGGTTTGGTAAGTCAGCACCTACAGTGCCCAGCAGAACTAGCAACTCAATAGATTTTTTCTTCCTTTCTTTGTTGCATCTAAGAGTCCATCCAGCAATGTTACGTGCTCCAACAATTTCGACACTAAATAGTGTCATTCATAGCCTGTTAGTTCTTCCAGCCTGGTCCATAAGTTTCATCATCATCCCCAAAATAATAAAACAATAATCCACGAGAATATATAAATAAAAATCATACAATACTTCATTAGAATATGCTCAGAAAAATGTAGGTTCTCCGGATGCCCTCTTTTAACAGTTTCATGACCTCACTTTTTCATCTTTTTTACACTGGAGTTCCTGACGCAACAGTGTCATTTTAAACTTAACTGTTGCATCAGGAACTCCCTGTGTAAAAACACTAACATACAATTTACTCCTAAAAAAGAAAGTGTGTTTTGTGATCTATTATGACCAGCGAGGCTGTGTATGCTATTTATAAACTACCTGCTGTATATGAATCTAAAAGATAAGCCAGCTCGTCTTGCTGTACATCTGCGCACAATCTTCATCGGGCAGCACCTACAAGTACTATATATGAAACTGAAGTTGCAGGCATCAGTTTCTTCACAGCCCCTCAACAGCATCTCTGCTTTTTCCGGACATGACTGCTTCTAACAATGCTTCTGATTTTGACGACACATTGCAGCACGCTGAACAGCTTTACCCATCTTATTTCGACCAGATCAACAGCTGTAGCACTTTGTTCAGCAGCAGGTAATTCCACAGCCAGGTTCTCAGGTTGAGGGTTATGATCATTGTTGAGAAACAACGAACCCTCATCAAAATCTTGAATCATGGATAATGGATCAAAGTCTGGAGAGTTGGGGACTTCTCCTGGATCACTCTGCTCAACTATAAAATCCATGCCGGCAATAGTGAGGAAGCCTCCATCAACCATAACCATTTCTCCAATAGAACGGAATTTTGAAAAGTTAACCGGAGAAGAGGTACTTGGCTGCGTAGCGTCGTTTCCATTGAATATGTGACAAGTCCCAGAGTTATGGCCACAAAGATTCTCCAGTCTGGGTGAGTTCTCAGGTTGAGGGTTATGATCATTATTGAGAAACAACAAACCCTCATCAAAATCTTGAATGATGGATAATGGATCGAAGTCTGGAGAGTTGGGTACTTCTCCTGGATCACTCTGCTCAACTATAGAATCCATGCCGGCAATATGTGACAAGTTAACCGGAGAAGAGGTACTTGGTTGTGTATTGTCGTTTCCATTGAATATGTGACAAGTCCCAGAGTAATGACAAGTCTCCAGTCTGGGTAAGTTTGTGGGGCAAGTTTCAGAACAAGAATCCATGAGAGAAGTTATATCGTCGTAGGAGACAAAATCCTCCTGGTGTTTCTTTTCAATAAAAAAATCCTCCCGGTGTTCAAATGCAGAATCAACCAAGTTTTGGGCATCAGCCTGACATCAAAATCAGTGTTACTGAGCTAGAAATGACCCCAAAAAATTAAATAAAAAATGTACAGAATAAGAAGCATGCCTTTTGGGTTTTTGAAAGCCTATCACTAGGAACACACTGGCCTTCCAAGAGTAGCCCTATCAGTTGTCCCACAACATTAAAAACCACCCCATTTTTCTGTTGTGAACTGGGACGGTACAAGTACACCGTTTTGTCAAGTATACAAGTTTGAGCATGATTTATCATAATCTCCACCATCTTAGTCCCTGCACCAAGGATCTGCCAACATCCAACAAATTCATAGTGATAAACTTCGTAGATCAAAGGAGGTTGGAATAATTTATTTACCAATGCAGGTGAAAACCTTCAGTTTAAGAAATGCCGAAATTCTTAGAATGTAAACCAAAACTCTTTCAGAGTCTTATAACTTAATTTACCTAAATATCACCTTGAATTTTACAATTATTTAGGTTTCCTTTTGGCCACTGATTTGCCACTCTGAATTTTAATTAAGAAAATACTCATGGTACAATGCTTATATATATATATATATATATATATTAAGGATGAAGATGGGATGTCATTGTCTACCAAGGGAGAATGGGGAAGCTGGAAATTGAGATTTAACCGAGGCTAAAAACAAATTTATCAATAAATACAAGTTTAAACAAGTTGAGAGAAAATATCCATTTAACTTGCACAAAAACTGATATTTTTTCAATAAATACAAGTAAAAAAAATTGAGATTTTTTCTTTAGTCTAAAAAGGTTTTAAGAAAATATCCATTTAAATTGCACAAAAACAAGTTTATCAATAAATCATTTCCTTAATAAGAAAAAATGTTCATCATTTAAATCAAGCAACATTTTAAAATATATTGAGTAGTGCCTTGGACAATCTTCAATGAAAACAGAGCAAAAAGTTAAATATGCCACTAACAAATGCTGCAAAGGTTATAAGAGGAAAGATAAGTCAATAATTACCTCATGGAGCCTTTGAGGGTTTGTAAAGTACAAAGTCAGAAAATCCTTCACTGTGGTAATGTTTTCCTTGCTTAAACAGTTATGCAAAGGGCTATTTTTGACAATATTCTTTAATCTCCACACTTCATCAAAAAGGGATGGAGTATCGTGCTTCCCGTACACTGCAAACGAAAACTTGAAATTACAGTTATCTTGTTTAAATATCTTAACTATCAAAAGTTATTCCACCACCCTAGAACGTGTAACAATTTTCCTTCTCTGCCTGAATTTCTTCGTTTATAGTTTCAAGAGAATCCATTTATGCAAGCAATTCAGACTATAGCTTTCTGTTAGATAGGAAATGAATTGTTATGCATTCAACATAATATGGAAAAAGTACTCTCCAAATTTCAAAAAAAAAAAAAGAAAAGAAAAAGAAGATCGTTTAAACCTGCAGGTATAGTGCTACATTGCATTCAAAAGAACATCGTTTAGATGGATCAAATGCATTTGATTTTGATAATCAATACAAGAGCTTTATTATAACGCTATTAACAGATGAACAACTTTTTTAACCCCATAAAACGTCTCGCCTCAAACAGGTTATTTAATAAATAAAATAAATATCATACACAAATACATCCATACATAAATATGATATACATTTTATACCACACTAATTAGTTTCAAAATCTCCTTTTATTAATTGAAACATTATGCATTTAAACCTTTATGTAAATTTCTACTGGATTCCACAGCCACCAACAAGTCTTAAACATATCCTAGCTCCTCAGCACTCTATCTGTCTGCATGATCACGGGAGAAAAAAATGAAAATAAAAAAAAGGAAAAAAAAATTCTGTAGTGCTTTATCCATGACAGGCAAATGCACAGAGTATGTTTGGAACTGTTTAGTATAAGTGTCTGAGTAGTTGTTTAGATGATATGTTGGATCACCAATCGGGTTCAAAGAGTTTTTCCATAGCCACTGATCAAATGGTGGATCAGAAATCTTTCATAATCTGCAAGACTACATGGCAGGGCCTTAAACTCTCTTCTTTTGCCTTAATGTTTCTATGCTCAATGAGGAGACCAACTAATTGAGTATGAGTGGGCACCATTTTTTTAAAACTAAGTTTGCAAATCGTATTCTCTAACACAATTACTACACAAGGTCCACATATATCACGATTCAAGATTTAACACGAGTCTGATGCAATCCAATGTAAATTAACCCGACCCTTATCCAGTGCAGTCTCTATCACAATGTGTCAGTCAACTCATATAGTCCAGAAACCAAAAAATTCTTACACAATAGGACACTATACAAAAAGAAAATCAAACCTAGCTTCTCTTATAATTCAAAAATAACACATAGTAGATCTGTTCCTTTAACACCCAAATCTTCTCCAAGATTATCATTTTTCTTAAACTGAGGAACTAATACTGAAGAAAATTATTCACTGCCTTCAAAACCTTATAGTGTGCAATAAAAAATTAATAAGTAAATTGAAGTGGCTAATATTCCCACTCAAATCATTTCTAATATATCATGTGATGCACATAACTAAAAGGCATGAAAATCACAAACACTTGATACGCATAACTAGAACTCGTAACTAGTTTTAATAACAGACCACAGTTAAAAATTTGCAATTAAATATAAATATGATCGTGTCAAAAATTTTTGCACTACCGCTGAACCCACTGAAATAATAGCAAGTAATTAGATTTCAAGACTCACGTGCGCCGCGGCGATCCTTGAGTTTGAACGGTTTTGATATTGCTTCTCTTACTTTAATACCACTGAAATTATCCAGTACCACTCTTGCCCCAAGCCTGAAGTCACCATTCTTCATCCACTTTGAATTATGTGTAAACTTAATCTTGTCTACGGTCCCAACGCCTTCTTTCAAGTTCAAATATGCATCTCCAGTAAGACAGGGGATTTTCCCTTTTATTCCTTCTCTTTCTCTAACAATCTTTTGGTTAAACTCTTCAGTTGTCCAATCATGTCCTTCAACATCATTACAATCTCCTTCAAGAACAACTATTTCCACCTTTGCAGAGGATTCAGGACCACATTTAACAGTTTCCCTGGTAGAACCATCAATTAAAGCTACTTCGATGGACGCATCCCCTTCTCCTTCAATTTTTTTCCCAGTATGTACTGTAGAAGAGGGTTGGATTAAGAAATGTAGTTGTAAGATTATTGACTCAACAGACGGATGTATCTCATTCCTGAATGTCATAGGCATGGATATGTCAGTTATGCATGAGTCATTAAGAAGGGTGTTCATTGACTCAACTACTGGGGAAGCGGGTGGCTAACCTAGAAAATATTACCAAAAAGAAAAATATAAATATAAAAAATAAATAAAAAGAAAAGAAAGAAAGAAGGATAACTTGGCTACCTTCTCACTAGGGAAAAAAAACAAATTTTTTATATATATATATATATATATATATATAAACAACATATATATGATCCTCACCCCTTCATGATAGATGAAATGGTTGCTTGTGCTGGTTCAAATTGCTCTTTCACCTGGAAACACACGTAGCATCAATGAGATATTGCTTACTATTTATACAATCCATTGAGACATACAATCCACAACCTAAAATGTAACACATTGTGGGTTCTCAATATTGTATAAACTATTGCTCATTGCCTCAATTCATAAACAGAGTGCCTCAAATTCCAGAGGCAAAATTATACCATTAGACAAGAATCCTCAAGTCACCTGTCTTAGACACGATTATAAGGACCAAGAAAACCAGAAATCCAGTTTGGCAGCATCTCTCTATATATTCACTATGCCAAAGACAATTGAGATGAGAAGTGGAAAAATTCACTTTATAAATAAAAACAAAAAAATCTTGAGCATATAAGTTTAGTATAAACACAAAGAACACATACACTACTAAAAAAGCAAATTATTTTTATAAAAGAAGGAAAAATGAGTGACTTCTATGCAAATGCGATGTATAAACACAAAGACAAAAGCCAGATCCGTTTTAGTTGAAAAAAGGATAAAGAAAGAAGACTTAAAAAGGAAACAAATAGTATGGCACATTATTTTTCATTTGATAAATGTGAAGTTAGACGGGAAATCATGAGAAATATTAAACAATAGTCATCCATTGACTGCTACCTCTTTTCACGCAGGTAGAGTTTTCTAAATCAAACCAGGTCATGAAATCTTTGTTAAAAAGAACTCAGAAATTCAATTTAATTCCTTCACATCAAATCACAATCCACCACATAGTCCATACTAGATGATTTAATCATTAATCCTCGCCATGAATCTTATTACCACTCTTGAAGACTTAAATAGTTGACTAAAAGGTGATTCTTAACATTTTTAGTTGCAATCAGTTACAGAGAGAGCTATCATCGGAAAGCATATATGAGCTGAAAATGTTGTCATTTTTTGGATTTACTGGATTTATAAAATTAATGTCAAACACCACATATAACATAATAAATTCATTTCAAGAACATGAGGTATTCAAGCACCCTGGGTGGATGCATAAACATCAAAAATATATTTTCAAGTTCCACTTTAGGATTGGATCAATAGACGTTAATTTCAAAATAGAATACAAATATTCTCAGCAATACAGAGTTAGCATTCTTCATGTAAATTTTTTCCACTGCATACTGTTACAAATCCAATTAGATGGCATGGGAATTAGATGCGGTGATTCACCAGCTAAATAAAGTAGCTCCCAAATGTTCGTTGACATCTTTTAGCATTCAAATGAACCTATGCAAGCTCCTTCATTTAATTGTCTTGAACACTAGTGACCAAAAAACCTTCATTTGTTTGGCTGTCCTATACAAATTGCTGAAGAACCAGAAAAAGAAATAAGCTAAGTTTTTAAATTTTCAATCAAATACTTCAAACTATTAAATGGATACAAGCACACAGGTATGTTGAATGGATTTTAACAGCGAACAGGGAACATGGCCGCAACAATACCACCAGATCCACCTAATAGATAGCTGAAGCTCCACTAGGGAGTCGCAAACTGTAGCATAAAGTGGCTTAAAACACTACAGAGATGAGAGAATCACCCCACATTAATGAACTATAGTTGATAACTTTAGTCAGCTATGTTTGGCAGGCATGGAATTGGAGCTTTGGAATTGGAGAAAAGCAACTAAGAAAATTGAATCAAAATTTTTTCCAATTCCATCAATTTCAATTCCAATTCTAATTCCATCAATTCCAATTCCAAGGCTCCAATTCCTTGTCGCCAAACACAGCCTCAAAACATTTTTGATCAGATCTCCTACAATGAGGACTTCACCAAACTAATGGTGTAATAACATCGAACGGTAAACTTAGCATAATTGTGCCTTGACACACAATCACATTTATTATGAACAAAAGGTATATTGAATGCATTATATTTGCAAAAAGCACACAAATGTATCCATCTATCCTTCTATCCTTCTATCGTGTTATGAACTTATGAGTCGATATAGAAGCATATACACACGTATATACATGTATGCATTTAAGTTAATACTGAAATCATTATACCATACACACTTACGGACAAGCACACCTGTATGACCCGTTCTACATGCACCAGGCTACCAGCCCATTGGTGTAAAAAGAACTTTTTTCAACATATATTCGAGCATTCAGATATGTAAACATACACGTATTATATGAACGCTACGTGTACTGAATAAAAATATTATATATATATGATAGGGACGAAATTCACTCACAACTCTACCAATCATAGGATCTATAATTTGGTGGAGCTTTTGGATCAGAATTGTCTCTGTAATTCGGGGCTTTTGGATCATAATTGGCTCTATCATTTCGTGGACCATTTGGTTCATAATCACCTCCAGTTGATTCCTAGAAAAGAAGAACAAAACAAAAGTGTTAATATATATATATATATATATATATATATATATATATTAATGGAATCCAAAATTAACAAGGACAAAGCACTTTGAACACAAAATTAACACCAAATAAGCAAAACCCAGTTCAGATTTCGTTTGATTTCCCAAATTTTGCTCAAGAATATATGATAATCTCAAAAAAAAAAAAAAAAAAAAAAAAAAAGGATGAAGGAAAAACAGGGTAACTCACTTCAACAAAGGAGAAATTGGTGTTGGTTCATCTTCCAGTTGTTGATTCAGTATCATTTTCGAGTTCAATGATGATGAAGAGACAAAGAAATTGTATACAATTATGTCTATATTTAAAATCAATTATAACGACACTTTACTGTCCATTGCTTATATATATATATATATATATATATAGTTTTGGAGCAAAGACGGAAGAATGTTGGCCACCACACCACTACACTAGTTGTGTTGGCGTCTACAAATTTTTTTATAATCCGTATTTGTTTTTACCATGAATTGATGAATAGTCACTGAAATATTTACTGCTGAGACATTGGCAGGTAGGTAGGACGAAAGGATGGAAGACATAATATGAACAGAAGAAGATAAGAAGAAAGAAAGCAAGGCAAGAATTATAGATATTTTCAAAAATAATTTTTTTTTATAATTAACAAATAAATCTCAATATATTGTTTTAATGTGAAAGTCAATTATACCCTTATGTTATAATAATATATTTATGTTGCAAAATATCTGTGAACGGGAAATGTTATTTATGCCCTTGCTCATTCATGTGCCAGCTGCCAGCTGTAATTCTCTCTATCGTCCAGAGACCCACCAACTAGGGCTGCAACTCGAGCGGGTTGGGCGGGTTGGACGTTTAACTCGGGCTCAGCCCGACATACAAATCTTCAGCCCAAGCCCAGGTATAATTTCGCCTAGTGAGCCCAAGCCCAACCCATACTTAATTTTTAAAACACGGGCTAAACTCGGGTTCTTTATTCGGGTTATATTTTCGGGTTTTCTTGGGCTTTTAAATCGGGCTCTTTCAATTTTATTAGTGCTTGGAGTTGGAGTGGTTGTATGAGTTTCAAGTTTCAACCTCATCATGTTCAAGTAGTGCACCATCATCTCCAACAACATCAAGAGGACACAACTCCAAAAGCTGATGATGATGATGAAGTTGCAGTACCACAAGGCCTTGAATCTGTGTGATGTGTGTTCATGAGGATGCTTCCAACAAAATACAAAACATACAAAGTTAACAAAACATTCAAAACATACAAGACGTACAGGGCCTTGAATACAAAACATACAAGTCCAACATTAATAATAAATAAGTACAAAGTTAACAAAATAACAAGCCACATTCCAACAAAATATAAAATTTATAACCAATATTAGCATTTTAGGCGGGTTCGGGTTGGGCTTCGGGCTTCATAACATATCTACCCGAGCCCGGCCCGAATTGAATTCGGGCTCAATAAACTCAGCCTAGGCCTAGGCCCAGAACAAAAAATCATTGTCCAAGACCATAAAAATGCGGGCTGGGCTCGGGTAAATTCGGGTTGAGCCCGCCCAAGTTGCAGCCCTACCACCAACACACTCTTCGTTTTCCCCCTCTCTCTCAACAAGGCACCAAATTATTCAGTTTCTTCAAATATTCCTTATTTACACACACACACATATATATATATAAATATTTATATTTATATTTATATTTATAAAATCACACACACATATATGTGTGTGTATATATATATATATAAATTGATAAACATGATTCACTTATTTGAAGTCCAAATTACAACTTTAAGTAAATGATTTTTAGGAGAGAGAATGATTCAGAATTAAATCAATTGAATGAAATATATATGATAATCGGTAAACAGGTTTCACTGATTTGAGTCCCAGTTATGAATTTCGGTGAATGTTTTTAAGAGAGGGAAATAGACAACAGAGTTTTAGGGCATTTTGGTCAATGTATCAATGGTTGCTTTTGGTTATTTTGGTCAAAGTCTAAGGATCCGAATTTGCTCCAGTGCACCTCTCACTGGAGCAGATCCAGTGCAGATCCCCACCTCAGCTCATTTGTCACATCACCGGTCCAGTCAGCACTTAGTCACCACCCAATAAGCATTTACATAAAAAAAGTTACTGATGTACTATTTTTATTTACCACATGTTCGAATATTTCATATACCTATACTAATACATCATATACTTATACATTATACGAAATCAAAATACATAATTTACAATTACATTTAATATATATATATATATATATATGGTTAAAAATTACCCAAAATTACAAAACCCTAATTTCTCTCCTCTACTCTTCATCTTCGTCGCATCGTCTGAAGTTCCACTGTTCTTCTTCCTTCCAACTCCTATAGTTTAATTGCTACGGAGGAATCACATCCTCTAATATTCAACCCACCCACCACCTCATCCCACCTCGCCGAGGACGAATGAGAGAACAAACAGCCTGTCGGTCTAGCGGCGTTCTCTTCCCCCCCTCTCTATCTTCCTCTTTTCTTTCTCTATATTTTTATAGATATATATATGTGTGTGTGTGTGTGTGTTTCTCTCTCTATATCTAATTATGTATCGACGATTCCCTTATTTCCCGGTTGTTTAACTTTTTGTTCATGCTCGAACTCAACATATAAGGACATAAGTTTCTATCAATATTTCGCCCAATATAGCTCCAAATCTAAGCAAGTCCTATTTTGTTGTCAATTTATCTTCTTCTTCTTTTTTTTTTTTTTTTTTTTTTTTTTTTTTTTTTTTTTTTTTTTGTGTATGAGTCCTGATTGATACTATTGTTTATGGGTTTTTGAGATTGTTCTTCATGATCAAAAGATGAACTTTTCTTCACTGGAAAAAGTTCTTCCAAAAAAAGGGCCATCAGATCTTAGTTTTTGATAACTTATGTCAGTTACCATATTTGGGAGAACATTGCATTGTCTCTCTCATCTATGCTCTTATCTCCCTGTATGCATCTATTTATCTTCTCTAATGTTCAAGAGGCATAAGAAATCACTTGTTTCTAAATTGAGTCGTAATGAATAAGTTCATCCTATATATATATATATAAATTATAGTTCAATAGAACTCAGATAACCTGCTATATACTTGGATAATGTTACAATTGAACAATGAAACAGAGAAGCTGAAGATTTATCCCAAATCTACAAATGAAAAACCTTAAGCCTCTGGTCTGTATAATTGTTGTCCACGGTTGATTAACTTCAATTATATAAATTAAGAGATTAAATTCAGAAAATTTGTCTCAGCATAGATAGATCCGGAGATGGGAAAAGGGGCCGAAAAAGTGGAGAAGCATAATTATGTCCTCAATTTCTCATTTTTAATTAATTATAGTTAGGTATCTATATATATCGATTTCAATATTTGAACTACTGTAATTAGGGTTCGATTGAGTATTTCTTGTTCAATTTTAGATCGCCAATTTTCAGTTTCTTACTTGTGTTCTTTTCTTTCTCTACCTCTGTTTGTTTGTTGGGAAAACAAAGAAAAAGAATAGAAAATAACAAAATGAGTACCAATACCAACCCCAAGCCGCCAACAACCACCACCAAATCAACGACTATCCTAATCTGCTCTATCAATCCTACCATACCCACATCAATCATACATCCATCCAAAACCCAGATCAACAGCAAGAAGTGGTTCCAATCTCACAGACCCAGTTCGTCTGATTGTAACAACAATCTGGTCCAATCAAACTGAGTTGATGCATCAGAGATTGAAAATGATGAAGATTGGCTTCTTTATTTGTTGCTCTCAACTTCCCAACTAATTTATCACCATCACCGCCTGTATATATATGTGTGTGTATATATATATCTGTATATATATATATATATATGTGTGTGTGTGTGTGTGTGTCTGTTGGTGTTGGGGCGGGGAAGAAAGAACAGAGAGGAGAGAAGGTGAGAACAGTGACTCTGATTTGATGATGTTCCATGGCGGCATGCATCGTCATCACCACCACCATGACAATGGGTTTAAGCACCACCACCATGACAATGATGATGAGGCGGCGGCCGCGGCGGCTGAGGGGTTCTTTACACCGGGCGTCGGGCGGCGATTATGTAGACCAGTTTGAGAAGAGAGTTTTTGGTTTATAGGCATATATCTGTATATATGTATCAGTTTGGGGCAACCTTAATTTTGGTTTTGGGGGGAATTTTAACTTGAAAATGAAATATAGGTAGCAGAAAGGGTATAAGCAGAAAGGGCGTACAGAAGCAAAACTACAGTGAAATCACATTTTACCAGCTTTGCCACATCAGCCGCGGGGCTTAGGACTGGATCGGTTCCAGTGAGAAGCGAATGGAGAGGATTTTTTTTCCAAAGTCTAAGGTTATTTTGAATTTTTGTTAACAGTTTGGACAGACAGATAATGTGAGCGGTTGGGGAAAAAATCATCTTCGGACACCCTTCCCATTGCTGACATGGAGGCTAGTAAATGGGTGACATGGCAAGGGTAAAAATGGTATTTACTCTTTCTATGTATGTATATAATTTGTACCTATATATCAGTACCTATATATCTGTACTTGGCACAAACATACGATAAGTCCCCTTCCCAACCCTCCACCACCACAACCACCACCACCACCACCAACAACAACAACCGACCTCCGCCGCAACATCCTCACAACCTTTCCTTACCTTACCTTCTGCCTCTACCACTTCAACACCAACCTCGTCCATGACAAGATCTCCACCTCCATCCGTCGCGCGCTCAACCAACCCTTCAACTATGCCCGCATATACTTCGCCGAGCTCCTCCCCTCTTCCGTCAAATGGATCATCTACTTCGACTCCAACCTCATCGTCGTCAACGACGTCTCCAAGCTCTGGAGCATCAATCTCAACTCCCACGTCCTCGGCGCACACGAATATTGCCACGCCAATTTCACCCATTACTTCAATCACAAATTCTGGACCAACCCATTGTTCAAAACCGCTTTCAGAGATCGAAATCCGTGCTATTTCAACACCGGAGTGATGGTGATCGATGTAGAGAAATGGAGGGAAGGTAGGTACACTGATAAGCTCGATAATTGGATGACGATTCAGAAGAGTACTGAAATGACCCACTCCACCACATGGTATGATATTGTCCGCTTTGGGCCTGAACCCGCATGGTTTTGTTCTTGGGCTTTACCCCAAAAGGCCTCATACCAATTGGAGATGACACACTTATATATAAGCACTTCACCTTCCTTCTACCCAGGCGATGTGGGACTTGTGCACCCGTAACTCGCCAGTGTAGTAGCTTGACCCGCTCACGGCACACCCGCCCACAAGGTCATCACAATCCACCCCACTTGGATGCCCGACGTCCCTGTCGGCACTTTTCCGGCTGGGTCAAGCTCTGATACCATTTATAACGACTCACTCCACCACATGGTATGATATTGTTCACTTTGGGCCTAAGCCCGTACGGTTTTACTCTTGGGTTTTACCCCAAAAGACCTTATACCAATTAGAGATGACACACTTACATATAAGAACTTCATATTTC